TGTGGTCTTTGATCTTCATCAGTAAGTGCTTCAAGTCCTCTTCACTTTCAGCAAGCAAGGTTGTGTCATCTGCATATCGCAGGTTGTTAATGAGTCTCCCTCCAATCCTGATGCCACATTCTTCTTCGTACAGTCCAGCTTCTCATATTACTTGCTCAGCACGCAGATTGAATAAGAATGGTGAAAGGACACAACCCTGACACACATCATTTCTGACTTTAAACCATGCAGTATTCCCTTGTTCTGTTCAAACGACTGCCTTTTGATCTAAGTACAGATTCCTCATGAGCACAATTAAGTGTTCTGGAATTCCCATTCTTCGCAGTGTTATCCATAATTTGTTATGATCCACACAATCGAATGCCTTTGCATAGTCAATAAAACGCAGGTAAACATCTTTCTGGTATTCTCTGCTTTCAGCCATGGTCACTGTGACATCAGCAATGATTTCCCTTGTTCCACGCCCTCTTCTGAATCCGGTTGAATTTCTGGCAGTTCGCTGTCGATGTACTGCTGTAACTGCTTTTGAATGATCTTCAGCAAAATTTTACTTGTGTGGAATTTTAATGATATTGTTCTATAATTTCCACATTCTGTTGGATCACCTTTCTTTGAAATGGGTACAAATGTGGATGTCATAGATGTAATACTGTTATTTGGAGGTTCCCCCAAGGAAAATGGCCAGCTTTCCAAAGCACCTTTAAGTGAAACCACCAGGAAATAAGTAATAAGCTTTTTTTTTTAAGTGCTTCAGAGAGATAGAAGACACTATTGCATGGAAGCACTAAAAAAAAACTTATTACTTGTCTCCTGGTGGTTTCACTTAAAGGTGCTTTGGAAAGCTGGCATTTTCCTTGGGGGAACTTCCAAATAACAGTATCTAGAGGTTGTTTTAGATTAGTTTTCTAAAGAAGAATCATCATTCTTCTCCTAGGGCAGGTAGATGCTTATCTTCCAGAGTTATAGAAGCAGGTCAGATGAAAGCTACTGGGCTTCCATTTTTCAGTATAATCCTTCGCATAAATTCCTGTTTTTAGCCACGTGCCTGGGGTTTCTGAATCTAGAGACTGTTTCTGCACAGAATGCATATCCGGTCCTCTGACGTATAGTGAATAGATTGGGATAGAATGAAATGAATGCAGGAGATCATTTAGGAGGGGTTACAAAGGTCCGGGCAATAGATGTTAGTAGTTTAGAGGTAGTGGAAATGGAGAAAAACAGATTGATTTGAGATTTAGATGGAAATTTGACATATCTCTCTATAAATGTATTTTACTGCTTGTTAATCAGATTGTATGTCTAAAGAGCAGGGACCATGTCTCTGCTGTTTGTACCTTTCACGGTACCTTGTTCCTAGGAAGCTTCAGTGTTTATTAAATTGTACTGACTATGTTAATGTCATGAGATTATTATGAATTGGATTTCTTACCATCATCACTGTTTAATATATATTAAAAATCACTTATGATTTTCTTGAGACAATAGTAGTTATGATCAAAGTGTTTGTTTACTGATTTTTAACAATATATATGTTTAAATTGTTGACCTCCATCTGGCACAAAAGATTTATGTGAGCCATTAAAATAGTGAGATCGAAACTGTTTTTAGATTACAGTATCTAAGTCTTACTCATGTCTGCTCTGAATTTTGTGTATAGATTTGTTCTTGCTAGTTGGAATCGACTTGACAGCAATGGGTTTGATATTTTTTGATTTGCTAGTTTGTATAAGCCTTACCTTGGACAAACAATTTCATAAGCAGTTATAGATTTTCTGTATTTGTCATTATTGTATTTATATAGTAAGAGCTATTATCTGATTTTATATTTTTGTCTTTAAGCTCTCTTATGTCTTTGTTACTGTGAATTACTTTTTTCCTTTTATCTTTTTAAATATGGTATTTGGTACATACAAAAGAATTATTAAATATGTAAGATATAAAGTATAAGTTATAAAATGTAATAATATAATTTTAATACCAGTGAACATACCACCCAGATCAAAACTAGAACATTACCACATTACCAGTACTTTGTATTATCTGCTTATGTGCTCCTCCTCATACCATCCATTTGCATCCTGTAGAGATAACCAGTATCTTGGCTTTTGAACTATCATTCCCTTCTCTTTTTAAAAGAATAGTTTTATCTAATGTGTATGTGTCCTTTAACAATATATGGTTTAGTTTTGTTTGATTTGAGCTTCAAAATGCCATGATTGTCTGTAAAG